GGGGGGGGGGGGTGTACGGCTCAGGTGCTGCCCCCCACTGGAGCTGCTGGGAAGTGCAGGCACGCCGGCGGCTCATCAGAGAGGGTGGCGGGACGCGGGGCCTGGTGCAGGGAAGAAGGCCCCCCCCGTCCCCTGGTGGCGGGTACTCACCACGTCCTGGTTGGTGCGGTGGTAGAAGGCCTGGCCGAAGACGGCCATGACAAAGAGGTTGATGAGGAAGGAGACGAAGAGGGCGATGCAGGACTCGATCAGGAAGTACTTGTTGGCCTCGCTCACCTCCTGCCTCTGGGAGCGCGTCACTTCGCGGGTCTGGGCGGGGGCACACAGCGGGGGGCACCGTCATGCAGCTGGCTAGGGCAGGGCATGGGGGGGACAGGGCTACTGGCTCTCTGGGGAGCCCGTGGCGGGGATGTAGGGTGACCAGATGTCCCGATTTTATAGGGACAGTCCCGATTTTTGGGTATTTTTCTTATATAGGATCCTATTACCCCCCACCCCCGTCCTGATTTTTCACACTTGCTGTCTGGTCACCCTACGGGGATGGGATGCTCAGATGCCTCAAGGGGCTATCATGGGACAGGGGGTGGGGTGCAGCCTGGGGCTTGATGCCCCACCCAGCTGGGCGGAGGAGCCAAGCATCTGTTTCCTGATCCCAGGGTGCTGCCCTTGGTCCCACCCACGCTCCCACATACTGAGTATCCACCCCCTGGCTTCGCTCTCCGGTCGGTAGCATCCCCACCCCAGCTGGAGCAGGGGCTGGGAGTGCAACAGCGCCCCCGCTGGCAGGTCAAGGTATTGCACCCATGGCCTCCTAATGCCGCTGACGGCTGACTCCACATGCCTGGGTCTGTAACTTTCACTCCATGCATCTAAAGAAGTGAGGTTTTTTACCCACAAAAGCTTAAGCCGAAATAGCTGTTAGTCTTTAAGATGCCACCGGACTCCTTGTTGTTTTTGTGACTCCATCATGTGCACACCGGGCCCCTTGTGGGTTACAGAAGTGCCCCCCAGGATGAAGAGGGAAGGCAGCTGATTGGCGCCCACGGC